GCTGCTGTCCCTCGCCGCCCATTGGCCCGCCAGCCTGGAACCAGGCTCCGCTACCAACTGTGGCAGCAGCAAGCGCAGTAAATGTTTTCCCTTGAGCCAACAAGAGTACGCGTGAGATCATGACACGCACACTATATGCAAAACCTGAGACACAAATTATGCTCACCTGTTTCACTCTGCCGCTCCTGGGCGGTTGCCGACTGGCCAAGAGAGGGACTACGGCTGCGCGCCTCAAGGTGGCTCTCGACTGCGCTGTCTTCGCCTCGGCAGTTGCCCCGAGGAGGGAAGTCGCTTGCTTCGTCCTCATTCAGCGAGGCCTAAGTCCAAGCGGGGCGAGGCCCCCGCCTTCGAAATCGCCTGGTGGTGCCAGCAAAATATCGTCGAGTTCGTCGAAGTGGTCTGGCCCTGGTGGACCATCTGGCGGAGGTGGTCCTCCTTGTGCGCCTATGCCTCTGCCCCCTTCGTCCGATGGTGAGCGGATTCGGCGTAAGTCTCGAAAGCTCAGACCTGGAGTACCCAGCCCCCCTGCGGGGTAAAGAGAGCGCCCGACGTCGCCAGTCGCATGCGGCGACGGCCGCGTTACGGAGGACAGCGGCAAACTTGCGCCGCTCTGGCAGCGTCGACCAAGCCTTTTGGGACGCCGTGGAACTGCGCCCCCGCGGTGGCGAGTTCATCAGCAGGCTCCTGCGATAGGCCCGACGCGCCCTTCGTTGATGCCGCGCCCCCCTAGATGGTTTTCCACCTTCTAGACTCTGAACAAGTCGGGCTAAGCAAAAAGAGCACGGTGGATTTTTGGCCAAAGGCCCGCTTGGGGTCCACGGGCTGCGGTGGACTATCCGGGAGGAGGTCTTCAAGCCCATCAATGGCCTGGCGCTCAACCAAAACGCGCACCTGCCGTTGTGCCGCGGCGACAAGATCAAGAATGGCAAGCGCTTCGGCCCGCTGCGCTGACTGCGCCAAGCCGTGCCCACGAACAGAGTAGTTGAGCCGGTGGTTTGGACTGTAGTAAATGCTAAGTCCCGGCCTGGCCAGGAGGGGGTGGGTTTGGTGCGAGCAGGCGCCGTCGGAGGCAGCAGAGACCCATCGGGCCCCGTGGTCGTCGGCAAACTCTCAACAAGAACCCCCTCCCGCGCCCCCCAGCAGCGGTCCTGGGAAGGGCTGCGCAAGCTCGACTTCGGCCAAGACAGCCCGGAGTTCGAGGATGCCGGGATCTTCTTCCAGCAGGCCACACCGCCTGGCATGTAGCAGGAGATCCTGCCATTTGTTGATCGCCGATCATGGTATGAATGGCGGTCCTTTCCGTCCCTCAGCAAGGGTATCTTCGCACTGCGTGTTCCCGGGCGTCTTCTTCTCGGTCGCACCATCTGCGCGGGAGAGATGGGGCGGCCGAAAAAACACTCTTGACTCCACAGTGCTGTGTGGTCACCCCCGCAGAAGTAGTTACAGAGGAGGCCGAGTTGCTGGGCGGCACATTTGGCTGTCCATTTGGTTCTGAGGAGCCATGTACTGGCAAAGTATCGAGGCCCTGCTCGACAGCAACGACGGCGCCAAGGTCGCGCCTGGGGGTTGGGGCACGTCGGAGAAATGCCCACCGCTCAGACGCCTGGAGCACGTGCGTGAGGAGCCCGGCTGGCAACTGGATCAGTGATTGGGGGGTGCCCGCGTCGGCGCACTTGGTGGCGAACTCGGGCCGCGTCCGTTCGAGCGAGAGAGGTATTGGCTTGCCACGCTCTACCGACCAGTCCTCCCCCTTGGAAAGATTGCGCCTGGCCATGTAACATCTCGGCTCTGACATTGACACTGGTGTCTCGCCGCACTTGCCTCCTGAGCCCTAGTAGCGCCTCGCTTTGAATGATGGCGCCAACTTCGATAGCGTGGCCCGGGACCACCACGGCAGAGAGGGGCCTTTGTGAGATCCAGGATCGCCCTCTGGGTCGAATCGCAAAAGACGTAGCGTGGTCGCAGAGGTTGCCCGCCCTGTCGCTAGGCGCTTGGACATCCGCGCCAGTGGCGCACATGCTGGCCACAAGGGATCAGACCGCACGAGCTGTCGACTGAATGCCTTCAGGGAGGCGCCAATGCGCGGGATTCTTTGGATCGCCTTCTTCGCCCAAGCAGCTGCTGCGGCTTCAAAGTCGATGCGAGGCCGTCGACCACGGGCGCAACATTGGCGTGGCCCCCCACAAGTTGCACCTGGCGGTGAGTTCTGAGTGGGCGCATGTCCAGGTGAAGCGCAGCAGCCCGGAGATGAAGCGCCTCCCCCAGGGCTCATCCCACAGCTCTACGACGGTGCATTTTGCGTCCTGACATCCTGTCAAACGGAACTGTCTGATTGAGGGGGGCCTGCACTCGAAGACCCGAACTTCGCGTTGCGGGGGGGACACGGGTTCCACGTGTTTTTTCAATGTTCCCCGCCCCCCTCCCCAGTGGAAATAGAGGGCAAAGTGAAGCCTGTGGGTTGGGTCGGGGTGGTTTGGTGGGTGGTGGCGCGCAGCGTACCCCAACACAGCAGATGGTCGAGGCCCGCCACCAGCGCGAAAGCGATTGTCCCCCGCGGCGAGGGTATCGCAGCAGGGTCAGCGGCCCCGGATGCTCCTACACTGGACAGGCCACGTCGGTGAATTCTCCTCCTCCCTACACTGGACAGACCACGTCTATGAATTAGGGGAGAAAAGGGGGAGGGGGGGGGCTCCAGACCTCTGCTCAGTGCGGCTGCTTGGAACCGTGCGTCGTCTGGGGGAGACCAATCCTGCTCGAAACAGGCGCCAAAAACAGACAAGATCTACTCCACGGGGGGTGGGGAGGGGGGGTGCGAGGGCCTGCGCCGATCGGCAAAACAATGAATAAGAAAACGCCCACTTACCCTGGCTGGTGTCCTGGTACATCAAAACTACGTCGGCCACCTGGAATCCACCTTCGACACTACTGCGCACAGAAATGACTGCAAGCGCGACGCTCATCGTCAAAGTTACGTCGGCCACCTGGAAGCCAGCTTCGACACCACTGCGCGTAGAAAGGACTTCGAGTGCGACGCCCATCCAAGGACTTGGTCCTCAGGACAATCTCGCTGCCTCACCACGACATGCCGACCGAACGATTCTCAAACGTCGCGGGAAGATGCCCATCTTGTCCACGCCAACCCACACGCCAATTCCCTAGTCCGTGATCTCTCGCAGCTCAAGGCCACAGAGTGCCCCTGCCACCCTGCTCCCAGGAACCGAGGAGAACTTGGTGGCGAACTCTCTGCATCTCGCCCTACGCTCCGTCGGGTCTGCCACCTCTCGCCACGTCGCCCACGCGCACGATCATAGCGCCAGGGCTGGCCTCCCTTGTTGTGCCACGGGTCCGCAAGTGGGTTCCCACCGACTACTTGCGAGGTGCGTCCACGAGACCCTGGACGTGCGCATCATCCTCAGCTCCAAGGTATCACCTCTCGGTGCACACTCAAGACGGCCGACCAGCGGTGCCACGCAGAATGGACCCCTTCAATTCGTAAAAGCCCTCCTTGGATGAAAATCGCATCCGAATTGAAGATTCAGCCTGTTTAGCCGCATTGGTTCGGCGTCCGATGAGCTCTCTCGCTCCTTTTCGAACAAATGCGGGGCCAGCGAAGCCTAGAACGCGTAACCCATTTTTACTAATTCTAGTTGAAGTCCGTATGCCGCGTGTGATCTGGAAGCCGGAGAACTGCGCACGACGGTTAGCAAGGAAAACCTTGCTTCTACTCTGGTTATGGGATCTCTTGGGAGGTATGCGTCCTAGACTAAACTATTCCTCACAATTGCCAATTGTCGGACGTCTTCCCGGCAGACGCAATAGCAGGTATCTGCCAGGAATGCACCATGTCACATGTCTGGGCATGATCGTGGCGCTCGTATAGCGAGGCGCTGGGAATCTTGGAAATGCGCAGGGCAAAATCGACGACCTGATTTACGCAAACGGCAAGCTGATCGTCGGCGCGTCTGCTAGAACACATGGGAGATGCTGACCGCACGATACGAGACCAACATGGCTAGACAGAACGGCGGTACTAGCTAGTCCCCATAAGGGCAACCTCCTTCTATGGGGGTAGCGTGCTGATGGCTCCGCCGGCCTGAGTTCAGCCGACGTATATGCCAGGCGAGGGAGAAGTTTGATGTGCTGCCACAGGTCTGGTCCCACTCCGCGGTGGCGAGTAGGAGGAAGACGCTGAGGTCCGAAGAATGCGTGCAGATGAGGCCGCTGTAGGCAGGGACAAGAGCAGCAACGGAAGGAGCATGAGGAGAAGAGGCAGGAGGAAGACCAGCAGCACCAAGGGCAGCCATCGACATGACGGCGACAACGAACGGCGACGGCGAGGACGAGGACGACAGACGAACGAGCGCAGCGACGACGGACGACGACGGCGACGGCAGCGACGCAAAGAACGACAACGACTGGCTACCCGCAATCGCGGTGCAGCGCGCACTGGGACGCCCCGCGAAACATGGCGAAGCGGCGAATGCGCACACAGGCAGGCGCGGAACTCAGAGGCAGGATCATCGTTGAAAATACGCTCTCCAGCCGAATGTTCGGTGGCAACTCGTGGCAGCCTCCACTACCATCATGTCGGTCAACGGCAATCGACGCTAATCGACGCGAGTCGACGGTGGTCGACACCAAATCGACGCTAATCAACGCTAACCGACTCAATCGACGCTAATTCGGCGCTATCTCATTGACTGCCAGACGCTACTCGACCCGAAATACGGAACTAAGACGGACGGTATACAAAACTCCCCTCTGGGGAAACCAAAAGATACCGATACCGCTACTCCACGGACACTTCCACGGTGCGTTCTGACCACAGTTTTGAAGATAATCCAGCGGTGGCAACGAGGGCCTCCCAGGAGACCCAAAAAAGGGCAAACGAGGTAAGGGTAGCGGTATGGGTACCTTGTCCTTCGTTGACGAATGAGGAGGAGGAGGAGGAGGAGGAGGAGGAGGAGGACGAGGATAACGAGGAGGAGGAGGAGGGCCGCCTTCTCGGGCTTCTTTCGCCTCACGTAGCCCAGAGCTAGGTTCAATCGCAGCCGGACCTCCAGCTCGGCATCCTGCCCGGGGGGACGGCCTCTCCCCCTCGCTCTGCTCACGGGGCTCATCCTTCTTCTTCTCCTCCTCCTATTCCTCCTCCTCCTCCTCATCCTCATCCTCGTCCTCCTCTTCCTCATCCTCCTTAGCATCCAGAGCTCCTCCACACTTCTCTCCTCCTCCTCCTCCTCCTCCTCCTCCTCCTCCTCCTCCTCCTCCTCCTCCTCCTCCTCCTCCTCCTCCTCCTCCTCCTCCTCCTCCTCCTCCTCCTCCTCCTCCTCCCTACCCTCCTCTCGGGACGGCTCTCGCAGCTCTCTTGGGCTGTTCTTGGAGCCTCGTCGGGGTCTTTTTGGGGCCTCTCATGGATCGGGGGTGTGTTGGGGGCCTCTGGGTGGTCCCGGAAGCCTCTCGGAGGTCTCTGGAAGCATCCTGCTCCCGCTCTTGGGCCCATCTTGGACCTTTTCTGGGGTGGTCTGGGGCTGTCCTGGACGCCTCTTTGGCAGTCTTGGAGCCTTCTTGGCCCGTCTCGGCGCCGTCCTGAGGGTCTCTTGGGTGATCTTGGGGCGGTCTCGGGAGCCTGTTCGGCGCTCTTGGACCGTTGGAAGCTCGAAAATGCGAGAAGCCAAAAACATGTAAAACAACAAATGAAAATCTACGATTTTGGCCTCTTCGGGCCGTCCCGGGACGCCTTTCAGACCTCTCTTGGGGTCTCTTGGAGGCCACCTAGGAGCATCGAGAGCCGTCGGAAGGCTATCTTGGGCTGCTTGGGAGCGTCTTGGGCCATCCTTTCGCAATCTGGGGGCTCCTGGGAGGCGTCTTGGGCCCTGCTGGAGCGCTGCGGAGGCTTCCCGGAAAGGCCGGAGGGGCGGTACCGGGAGCGTCCCCAAGATGTCACGGGGAGGTGTGGAACCCGGGCCGGGGGGGGCGGCATCGATTTGTTTATTTCTTATGTGTCTGTGCATATATATACACGTATACATACACACGTGTGTACATATGTGCATATATGTTTATGTGTGTGTATATGTATACGTATACGTATATGTATATGTATATGTATATGTATATGTATATGTATATGTATATGTATATGTATATGTATATGTATATGTATATGTATATGTATATGTATATGTATATGTATATGTATATGTATATGTATATGTATATGTATATGTATATGTATATGTATATGTATATGTATACGTATACGTATATGTATATGTATATGTATATGTATATGTATATGTATATGTATATGTATATGTATATGTATATGTATATGTATATGTATATGTATATGTATATGTAGATGCATATGTAGATGTGTATGAATATGTATATGTATGTGTATATGTATATGTGTATGGAAGTGTAAATGTATATGTATATGTATGTGTGTATGTGTATGAATATGGTCATGGATATGGATATGGGTATGGATATGTATATGCATATGTATGTGTATATGTCTACGTATGTGTATGTGTATATGTATATGTATACGTGTATATATATGTGTGTGAATGAATATGTATATGTCTATGTATATGTAAATGGTTATGTACATGTACATGTACATGTACGTGTACATGTATAGGTAAATGTATGTGTATGTGTATATGGATAGGTATGTGTATGTGTATATGTAAATGTATGTGTATATGTGTATGTAGTTGTAGGTGTATGTGTATATGTATATGCACATGTACATTTATACACATATACATGAATATGTGTGTATATGTATATGCATATGCATATGGATATGCATGTGTATATGTATGTGTATATGTATGTGTATGTATATATACGTGTATATATATATATGTATACGTATGTATGTATGTGTATTTGTATGGGTATATGTATATGTATGCGTAAATGTATGTGTAAATGTATATGTGTATGTATATGTATATACATATACACATACATATACATATACATACATATATGCACAAGTGCAGATCCATATATATATATATATATATATATATATGGTAGCCCCCCCCCACATGATCATACATGTTCGTCTTATTCTTGATCGTCGTCGCTCCTCCTCCTCCTCCTCCTCCTCCTCCTCCTCCTCCTCGCGGCGCTCTCGGTGCAAGGAAACGCTGTGTATTTTTGGTTTTTGTGGTTTTTTTGGTCTGTGAAGCCACGAAACACTGTGTATTTTTGGTTTTTTTGGTTTTTTTGGTTTTGCAAGCCCCCATGCTCGCCGCGGCCGCCCTCCCAGCGCCCCTCTCTCCGCCTCCCCAGACCAGAAAAACCAAAAATACACAGTGGTTGGCGCCCCTGGTGCAAGGAAACGCTGTGTATTTTTGGTTTTTGTGGTTTTTTTGGTCTGTGAAGCCACGAAACACTGTGTATTTTTGGTTTTTTTGGTTTTTTTGGTTTTGAGAGGCAGAGAGAGGGGCGCTGGGAGGGCGACCGCGGCGAGCATGGGGGCTTGCAAAACCAAAAAAACCAAAAAAAACAAAAATACACAGTGTTTCGTAGCTTCACAAACCAAAAAAACCAAACAAACCAAAAATACACAGCGTTTCCTTGCATCGGGGGCGCCAAACACTGTGCATGCTTGCTTTCTTTCTTGATTCGGGAGGCACAGAGACAGGTGCTGGGAGGGTCTATTACTACTACTACTACTACTACTACTACTACTACTACTACTACTACTACTACTACTAAACGCTGTGTATTTTTGGTTTTTGTGGTTTTTTTGGTCTGTGAAGCCACGAAACACTGTGTATTTTTGGTTTTTTTGGTTTTTTTGGTTTTGAGAGGCAGAGAGAGGGGCGCTGGGAGGGCGACCGCGGCGAGCATGGGGGCTTGCAAAACCAAAAAAACCAAAAAAAACAAAAATACACAGTGTTTCGTAGCTTCACAAACCAAAAAAACCAAACAAACCAAAAATACACAGCGTTTCCTTGCATCGGGGGCGCCAAACACTGTGCATGCTTGCTTTCTTTCTTGATTCGGGAGGCACAGAGACAGGTGCTGGGAGGGTCTATTACTACTACTACTACTACTACTACTACTACTACTACTACTACTACTACTACTACTATTACGACTACTACGATTACTATTACTACTACTGCTACTACTACTATTACGACGACGACACCTACTATTACCAGGACCACCACTACTACTACTACTACTACTACGATTCCTGGTGCTGCTACTATTTCTAATGCTTCTACCCCTACGACTACTACGACGATTTATGTAATTTTTTATTTTTATTGCGATTACTACTGCTACGACTGTTGCTACTAGAACTACTATTACTACTCCTCCTCCTCCTCCTCCTCCTCCTACTACTACTACTACTACTACTTCTATTGCTAGCGCGACTACGGCTACGACCACGACGGCGACGACGACTACTACTACTACCACTACTGATATTACTGCTACGACTACTGCCAGTACTACAGCTGCGACTGCTAGTGTTACGATTACTACTGCCATTACCGCTGCGACCACTACCACCATTAGTACTATTACTAATTTTCTATTACGGTTACGGCGATTACTACTACTACTACTATTTCTATTACTACTACTACTACTACTACTACGACTACTACTACTAGTACTACTACTGCTACCACGTCTATTTTTATTTATGTACTACCACAACTACTACCACCACCACCACTACTACTATTACTATTACTACTACTAAGACTACTACTATTACTACTACAACTATTCCTACTAGTGCTACTAGTACTTCGACTCCTACTACTCCTACTGCTACCTCCTGCTACTACTGCTACTGCTATTACTACTAGTATTACGACGACGACATCTGCTACTACTACTACTACTACTACGACCACCACTACTACCACTACTACTGCTATGGTTCCTGGTACTACTACTATTTCTATTGCTCTTACCCCTGCTACTACTGCGACGATGCCTGTTATACCATGTTTATGTTTATTGCGGATGCTATTACGATTGTTGCTACTAGAACTACTACTCTTATTATTGCTGCTACTACTGCTACTACTACTACTACTACTACTACTACTACTACTACTACTACTACAAGTGCTACTAACACTGCTACTACTGCCAGCGCGACTACGGACGGCTACGACTACGGCGGGGGCTGCTGCTACTACTACTACTACTACTTCTACTACTACTACTACTACTACTACTACTACTACGACTACTCTTCCTACTAGTGCTACCACTGATATTACTGCGGCGACTACTACCACTACTACAACTACGACTACGACCATTACGATTACTACTACCATTACCACTACGGCCACTGCTACCACTATTACTACGACTAATTCTACTACGACGGCTACTACTACGGCTTCTACTACTGCTACGGAAGAGCGACGGAGAGCGGGGAGCAGATGAGGGAGGGGAGAATATGTATGATCATGTGGGGGGGGGCAAGCATATATATATATATATATATAATTATATATTTATATGAATATATATATATATATATATATATATAATTCCTCTTCCTATACTTTTACAAGCCCGGGCGGGGGGGAAACCCGTCCCCCCCCCCCAAAAAAAAAAAAACTGACTCCTGGGATCTGAAGCTGTGGGACCCTTCGGACGGGCCTCGAAGCGGCCCCCCAGGCGTCGCAGGGCGTTTTGCCAAGCCTTCGCAGCACACCTAGGGCGATCAGGGGGGTCATCGGAGACGTCCAAGAAGCCATCATACCCCGAAAGATCGCTCCAAAACGTACCACGAGGCCTCCAAGAGCACCCCCAAGAAGGCCCCGAGAGGGAAAAACATTGATTTCATGTAAGTTTCTGGTGAATTTGGGGTTCACCTCTGTTTGGCTTCCCGACGCTCCAAGACAGCGGTCTTCTGGGCGTCCGAAGTCGCCTGGGAGGCTCCAAAATCGCCCCACAGCCATCCGAAAGGGCGTCCAGGCAGTCCAAGAGAGCCCCCAAACGGCACACCAGGGGTCCAAAATGGCCCTAAGAAAGCCCCATGGCGGCCCAAGATGGCCCCAAGACACCCTCCGAAACATTCCATATCGTGACCGGGGCGTTCAAGGAGACCGCGGTTAGAGGCAGGTTGGCCTAAGGAAGCCCCAGAGGCCCCCAGAAAACGCCCAGGAGGCCTCCAGAAGGCTTTAGGAAAGCTTGAGAACTGTGGTGAGGCTCCCAGAGGCTCTCCAAGGAGGAGCCTCCGCAAAAAGAGCTGAAGAGGATGGGGAGAATGCCCAGGGTATGGCGAGAATGAGGAAACATAAGCATGGATGAAGGATAACGAACAACATTATCAGAACGGGGATGCCAGAAAAGGCAGCAAGGAGTTATCGTTAAAGTGTCCGCTTGACCTTCCTGCCTTTTCCGCCTGCATAGCAATCTTCAAGGACCAAGGTGCATGGCACGAAGCGCCACTGCAGTCTTCTGTATATATATATATATATAAATATACATATAAATATATATGTATATATAATGTGTGTGTATATAACTATGTTTATATATACACACACACACATATATATACATATATATATATATATATATATATATATATATATTCGGGGGCCTCTTAGAAAGAGTTTTGAAGCCTTTGGGGTGCCGTCTGGGGCCTCTTGGAGCCTTTGGGTTTCTTGGGGGCCTCTTGGGGCCTCTTCGGGGCCTCTTGGGGCCTCTTGGGGGCTTCCTGAGGGCCTCTTCAGGCCTCTTGGGGGCATCTTGGGGCGGAGAGCTTGATTTTTCAGTTCGCGTCCCTCTCTTGGGCTCCTCTTGGGGCATTCTTGGGGCCCTCTTGCGCCGTCTTGGGCGGCTCTGGGGCCGTCTCGGGGCTCTCTTGGGCCGTCTTAGGGGCCTCTTGGTCCGTCTTGGAGCGGTTTGGGGCGCCTCGTGGGCGGTGCTTTAAAGGGCAGCTCTTAAAGGCCTCTTGGGGCGTCTTGGGGGCCTCCGGGGCAGTTTAAAACGCATCGTGCGTCGGATCTGTCCAGGGCACGCGAACACTCAACGTGGGTCGCTAGCAATCGGGCATCTCGGTGGCAGCGTGGCGGGGCCATCTGACCAAGAAGCGGAGAACATGCGTGTATGTATGTGTGTTGTGTGTTGTGTGTGTTGTGTGTTGTGAGTGTTGTGTGTATGTGTGTATGTGTGTGTGTGTGAATGTGTGCATGCGTGTGCGTGTGCGTGTGCGTGTGCGTGTGCGTGTTGACCTTTTTTCGGCCTCTGTGGCTTTTTGATAATTTTCGGTCTCTGAGGCCCTCGCCGGGCCCCGAGAGCGACGAAGATCCGGTCCGAGGGAAGGAGTCGGGACTTCCGGGGACCGCTTATGGAGAAGGGGGAGGGGAGGGAGCAGGAGCAGAGCGAGAATCTGTGAGATCCAACGGTTCTGGAGGAATAGTTGGGCACCGAAGCCTCATCAGACAGTCCCGGAAGAACGCTCCGAGACGGTTTGGTGTGGGAACGCCACGCTCTCCATCGCAAAACCATCGAAACTCAAGAAATCCACGGCGCCCTGGAGGCGAGCAGGGTGTTTCTTGACATGGGCCTCCACTGCAGATGGCCGCCCCTCCTCCTCCTCCTCTGCCCCCCTGACAGCGCGAGCCCCCTCGCCCAGGCCCTGTCTGGGAAGCCTTTGGGCGTCTCGGGAGCGTCGGGGGGGGGGGTCTTGCGGGTTACTTGGGGTCTCCTCTTGGGCTTCTGCAGTCCCAGGGCTGGAAATGTCCGCTCGGCCTCCGCCGGGACCGCTGGGCTCTTGGGGGCCTCGTTCTGGCCTCCTGGATGCTGCTTGGGGCCGCTCGGGGGCCTTTCGGGAGCCACTCGGGCTCTCTTAGAGCCTCTTGGGGCCTCTTCGGAGCATCCTGAACTGCTTCTTGAAGTTGTCATGGGACCTTTTTGGCATGTTCTCGGAGGCCTCTTAGGAAGAAGGAGAAGGAAAAAAAAAAAAAAAAAAAACGTTTGTGTGCCGTTTTGGGGCCTCCTGCAATATGCTTTGGGTTGCTTGGGGGCATCTCGGAGCCTCTTGGGGGCCTCTTGGGGCCTCTTGGGGGTTTCCTGGGAGCCTCTTGGGGCTTCTTGGAGGCATCTTGGGGGGGAGAACTTGATTTTTCAGTTCGCGTTCCCTCTCTTGGGCTCCTCTGGGTGCCTTATTGGGGCCCTCTTGCGCCGTCTTGGGCGGCTCTGGGGCCGTCTCGGGGCATTCTTGGGCCGTTAGGGTGCCCTCTTGGGGGCCTCCTGGGCCGTCGTTTTGGAGCGGTTTGGGGAGCCTCTTAGGGCGTGCTTTAGCACTGGAAACAAGAAATAACGAGATTGCCCCCCCCCCCCCCCCCAAAACAAAAAAACAACAAAACAAACAAAAACATTGGAAAACATCAAAATATATGAAAATCAGCGATTCTGCCCTCTCGGGGCGCTCTAGGGCGGCATCTTACAAGCCTCAAGGGGCGTCTTGGGGGCCTCCGGAGCGCTTTAAAAAGCATCGTGCGGCCTGTTGGGGGCCTCTTGGGGCCTTTACGACGCATCGTGCGGCCTGTTGGGGGCCCTTGGGGCCTCTTGGGGGGTTCCTGGGGGCCTCTTGGGGCCTCTTGGGGACATGTGGGGGCGGAGAGTTGGTTTTTTCAGTTCTCGCTTCCTCTCTTGGATTCGTTTTGGGGCCGTCTTGGGACCCTTTTGCGCCGTTTTGGGCGGTTCTGGGGCTGTCTCGGGGCTCTCCTGGGCCGTCTTACGGCCCTATTGGGGGTTTCTTGGGCCGTTTTGGAGCGGTTTGGGGAACCTCCTGGGCGGTGCCTGAACTCCAGAAACACGAAACAGCGAGATTGCCAAACAAACAAACAACAAACAAACAAATAAACAACCAAACAAACAAAACAGAAACAACAAAAAACATAAAAAGGAAACGAACGAACAACTAATGAAAATCAGCGGTTTTGCCCTCTCGGGGCGCTCTCGGGCGGCATCTTAAAGACCTCTTGGGGCGTATTGGGGGCCAGTTTACAGCGCATCGTGCGTCGCCAGAAATCCCTGGACGGCGTCTTGGAGGTGTCTAAAGACCGTCTGGGGCCGCCAAGATTGCCCAGAGGCGGGCCCGGGCCCCAGGGCCCACATTTGTGGTCGAGGTTCCGGCCTTCGGCCCCCGGGCATGGTGCGCCGTCAGGTGTATACATACTTACATGGAAAAAACATTCGTTCGCGTAGACATGCACATCCATGTGTACGAACATGTGGACGCATGTGTATATGCACATGCTTAAACATACCAACCTCGAAAAATCACGTCACGATGAGCCTTCGACATGTCCGCCCTCCACAGGAAACAACAACTGATTATCGCGGACTCGTGCAATCGTGCGGCATGGAGTCATTCCAGAGAGGTGTCCTTCAGCTTCTGGGTTCCACGCAAGGCGTTCTTCCAGTACCTCCCAAGGGATAAAGAATACGCAATGCAAGGATGAGGTGGAGGGACAGAAGAGGAGAGGAGGGAAAATAGCCATATGCAGTTGCGCGTACTGCAACGGTGAACATTTTCTTCGGCGACGCTCCATGCGGGGCCACGAACTCTGTGAATGGCGCGCCGACATGGGCGCGGCGGACGCGCGTGGACGGCGGCGCCGGGGCCTTCGGGGGAGCCCCCTACGGGGCCACGAAACGCGTGGGAGGTGTGCCGACATGGGCGTGAAGGACGCAAATGGACGGTGACGCTGGGGCCTTCGGCGGAGCTCCCTCCAGGCCACGAGACACGCGACAGTGTCAAAATCGGCGCGGGGGGCGCACGTAGACGGTGGCACCGAGGCCTTCGGCGGAGCTCCCTACGGGGCCACGAGACGCGCGATGGGCGCGCCGAAATGGGCGCGGGGGACGCACGCGGGCGCGCTGGGACCCTCGGCGGAGCTCTCCGCGGGGCCACGAAACGCGCGAGGGAAACGCCGAAATGAGCGCGGAGGACGCGCGCGGACGGTAGCACCGGGGCCTCCGGTGGAGCTCCCTCTGGGGCCACGAAATGCGCGAAGGGCATGTCAAAGTGAGGGCGGCGGCGGTAGGAGGGAGGACGAGGAGAAGGAGGAAGAGGAGGCGGGGGAGGAGGAGGAGGAAGGAGAGGGGGAGGAGGGGAGGAGGAGGACGAGGAAGGAAGGAGGAGGAGGAGGAGGAGGGAGGAGGAGGAGGAGGAGGAGAAGGGAGGGGAGGGGAGGGGAAGGGGAGGGGAGGGGGAGGGGGGAGGGAGGGAAGGGAGGGGAGGGAGGGGAGGGGAGCGGCGAGAGGGAGGAGAGGAGAGGAGAGGAGAGGAGAGGAGAGGAGAGGAGAGGAGAGGAGAGGAGAGGAGAGAGGAGAGGAGAGGAGAGGAGAGGAGAGGAGAGGAGAGGAGAGGAGAGAGAGAGGAGAGGAGAGGAGAGGAGAGGAGAGGCAGAGGAGAGGAGAGGAGAGGAGAGGAGAGGAGAGGAGAGGAGAGGAGAGGAGAGGAGAGGAGAGGAGAGGAGAGGGGAGGGGAGGAGAGAGGGAGGAGAGGAGAGGAGAGGAGGGAGAGAGAGAGAGGAGAGGAGAGGAGAGGAGAGGAGAGGGAGGAGGAGAGGAGAGAGAGGAGAGGAAGAGAGAGAGGAGAGGAGAGGAGAGCAAAGGAGAGGAGAGGAGAGGAGAGGAGAGGAGAGGAGAGGAGAGGAGAGAGAGAGAGGAGAGGAGAGAGAGAGGAGAGGAGAGGAGGAGGGAGAGGAGAGGAGAGGAGAGGAGAGGAGAGGAGAGGAGCGGAGCGGAGCGGAGCGAGGCGGAGCGGAGCGGAGCGGAGAGGAGGAGGAGAGGAGAGAGAGAGGAGAGGAGAGGAGAGGAGAGGAGAGGAGAGAGAGGAGAGGAGAGGAGAGGAGGGGAGAGAAGCGGAGCGGAGCGGAGCGGAGCGGAGCGGAGAGGAGAGGAGAGGAGAGGAGAGGAGAGGAGAGGAGAGGAACGCGGGGACCGTTTCTTCAAAAGTAGGACCTCCACCGAAGGCGCCAGTGGCAGTCTCCCTCGTGGCTCTCAAAGCCCTTTTCCTGCTTCTGCTCCTCGGTCAGGGGGGCGGCGTCCTCGTCGTCGGCGGCGCCCGCGAAGACGGCCACGAACGCGTCCCTGAGCGAGCAGGGCGGAGAGGTAGAAGGGAGAAGGGGAATGGAGGAGGAAAGAGGGAATGGAGAAGTTGAGGGCGAGAGGGATGGAGGGGAAATGACAAAGAGAAGCGAATAAGCAAAAGGAAGAGAGGAGGGAGACGAGAAGGCGAGGGAACGGGGGGAAGAGAGCAAGAGAGAGAAAGAGAAAGAGAAATAGAGAGTAATACATGAAAGATGAGAGAGAGAGAGAGAGAGGAAGTGAGAGAGAGAGGAAGAGAGAGAGAGAGAGAGAGAGCGAGAGCGAGAGAGAGAACAAAGAGAGAGAGAGAGAGAGAGACAGACAGAGACAGAGACGAAGACGTAGACGAGGAGACATAGACAAGAAAAATATATACACACAAACATCTACATATCCGCCGATCCGGCGTGTGAGTTTCAAGGAGTCTCAGCTACAGCCTCGAGGCTGAGCCTCAGCCTCTGGGGGGGGTGCCGGGGTGGCTCTGCCGGGGAAGAGGGGGGGTGGGGGGTGGGGGGGGGCGAGTTTCCGGCGGATGCGTTTTTTGACACCCCTCACAAGGATCGTGGCCTCCGAGGGGGTTCCGAACTCGAGTACCACCCCTCCCGCACCAAGAGGCTCCGAGGAGGCCTCCAAGAGGCCCCAAGGGGCGCAGAAGAGGCCCCCAAGAAGCCCCAAGAGGCTCCCAAGAGACCCCCAAGAGGCCCTCTAGTGGCCCCAAGAGGCCCAAGAGGCCCCCAAGAAGCCCCAAGAGGCGCCCAAGAGGCCCCCAGAAGTCCCAGCCAACCACGAGATCCCAACCAGCATCCATGAGGCCTCTGACCCACCACCCACGCACGGTGGCGGGATAGGCCGACGGCCACTGGATAAATGCTGAGTGAGAGAAGGGGAGGGAAAAAGAGAGGAGGGACGAGGGCGAAGAAGGATGACATCAGTCGGAGCGCCCCGGATCGGCGGCACTGGCCGAAGGCCACTACAATACATAAACCTATACATATGCATATATATATATATATACATGTAGGTCTACCGAGACAGAAACAAACATGCAGACAGACAGACAGACACAAAGACAGAGGCAGAGGCAGAGACAGACAGAGACGGACAGAGAGGCAGGCAGACAGACAGACAGAGAAAGAGGCAGAGAGAAAGAGGGGGGCAGCGCGGCCCCCCCCCCCTCCCCAGGCACAGTGGCGGGCGAGCTCTGGCCCGCCGGCGCGACACACCAGAGGGGCCGCGCGGCATTTCGCCCCAGCTCACCCCCGCACCAACGACCACCACCACAGCCACCTCCGCAGCCACCGCTACCACGAGCACGACCACCACTTGGCGGCGAGCCCCGGGGGAGGAGTGGGAAGGAGCGGTCCTTCTCAGGAGGCTCGGAAATCCTCCGAGCCTCCCGAGAAGCTTCCGGAACCTCCCGCGAAGACACAGAAGACTGCTCAGAGGGCCGGAGGGCTTCTGAGAAGCCCCGCTGCCTTCTGACAAGGCCTCCTCCTTCTCACTTCCCTCCCTCGCGCGACGCCGAACCACTGCCACTGCCCGTCAGTCGGAAGAAGTGGGTAGAAACATGAAGTAAGACTGTGTTCGAAGTAGATTGGGCTCCCGCCCGCCCCCCAAAGAGGAGGGAACAGGAAAAGGCGCTCGATGTTTGCAGTAGGGAGGCGCCTAAATAACAATGGGATCGGGGGATCCAAAAATACCTACAGTAGGGGCCCGACCACAAGAAACCGTCCACAAGATCCGCTGGAGTCCCTTCACTGTGGCAGCGGCTAGAAAACGTAATCGCCCGTCTGCACCTGTGAACCTACAGTGGAGGCCAGTCCACAAGAAACCTTCCACAAGAAACCCAACCCTGAGACCCCAGGACGCCCATCGATATTTGGCGTGGGAAGATCACGCTTTCCATCGCAAAACCATCGAAGCTCAAGAAACCAAGGGCACCCTGGAGGCAAGCAGGGCGTTTCTTGGCATGGGTCTCCACTGTAGGAAGGCGCCTAAAATAAATCTGGGATCGGGGGATCCAAAAACACCCACTTTCAACGACCAGCGTGTACCACGGCCACCATGACGACACCCCCCCAACCATCGGGGGCGCGCAAACATGGACTGGCGATCCATGGAGTTGGCTCGCCGTCGCCAAATCCATGGATCGGGAGAGGTGTCCTCCCCAAAATGCGGTTGGTGCCGCCTCGATGGGCGGCGGAAATCTGCGATTGCCCATGGAAACGGGAACCGTCGCTAATCCATGCCTCCTTGATCCATGTTTGCGATCGCCTGAAACCACCACCACGCCGTACCCTGTCGGTAACCGACCGCCCGCCCGCACCCCGCCCTCACCCCACCCTCCGCTCCTCCCACCGTGCCCCCCCCTCCTCCTTCTGCCCGGCCGCCCTTGCACTCGGTTCGCCCTCCTCCCTCTTAGCCTAAGAGTCTTAGGCAAACTGTTGCGCCTCATCGCCCTCCTCCTCCTCCTCCTCCTCCTCCTCCTCCTCCTCCTCCTCCTCTCCTCCTACTCTACTCCTACTCCTACTCCTTCCTACCTCCTTCCCTCCTCTCCTACCTCCCGCCCGCCCCTCTCTCCCTCCCTCCCTCCCTCCTCCTCCTCCTCAATCCCTCCCTCCCCGCCTCACTCCCTACCTCCCGCCCGCCCGCCCGCCCTCCCTCCCTCCCTCCCCCCTTTCCGCGCGCCGCCGACCGCATCTGCTGCGAATGCGGCTGCTGATGCGCTCTGCGCAGGGCAACGCTAGGCAGGCTGGAAGAGCCTCTCAGGGAGCGCAGCCCCACAACGAGGTGGCCAGCGCTCAGGTATCAAGAGATCGCCCCTCTCCGAACGCGGCCCCACCCAACGCGCCCCCACCCCCTCTCACGAGCCTTCCGCAGCAGTGTCACCGGAGGAATTGCGAGCCAGACGGCTGCACTGCAACTCTCGCCTGGTCTCTCTGCACGTCTGGGGCGAGCGAATACCTTTAGGAGTTATCCCTCGCTCAAGAAGCATACCCATCGGGCGCTTCGCTGCATCCCGCGCGCGTGCGATGTGGAATGACTTCCGGCAGCTGGAATCATCTGAAAAGATCCGCTGGAGTCCCTTCACTGTGGCAGCGGTTAGAAAAGGTAATCGCCCGTCTGCACCTGTGAACCTAGTGGAGGCCAGTCCACAAGAAACCTTCCACAAGAAACCCAACCCAGAGACCCCAGGACGTCCATTGATTTTTGGCGTGGGAACGCCCCACTTTCCATCGCAAAAACATCGAAGCCCAAGAAACCCTGGAGACAAGCAGGGTGCTTCTTGGCATGGGTTTCCACTGTGCAGCAAAAACGCAATCCAACAAAG